GAACACCTGTGGAGGCTGAAAGCACCTCCATCTCCCAAAGGAAGAAATGGCCCAGTGTGGGGAGGTCCCCTCCTGCGGCCACACAGCTGGCTCTCAGACTCAGCTCGTGACCAGTTGCAGGACACACAGTACGTGCCACCTCTGGGGGCCCTCAGTGATGCCTGTCCTGCGTCCACCATAGTCCTGGCCTCTGAGGGGTCATACAACCACAATTTGTCCCCAAGTCCCCCTCACTGGGACACCAGTTTCAAGGTCAGAGGTTCCCAAAACCATGCTTGGGATCAGTGATTCTCTAGGGCTCGAAACACTAGAAACATGCCCTCGGTTAGATTCTCCAGGGAGAGACACAGGTTGGGATCAGCCAGGGCAGGGCAAACAAAGGGCAGAGTCAGACATCACCAAGAGGAGCTCTGGGGTCCTCTCCCGTTGGAAGCTGGACCTCATCCAGCTGTCCTCCCATCTCAGAGTTGGGACTCTGCATGTGGAACCCTGTCAGGGAAGGAGGCTCCCTGGAGCCTGGGTCCAGAGTATTTCAGGAGCTGCCTCAGAGGCAGGAGCAACTGTCCGGTGCTGACCCAGCCTCCCATCTCGTCTCTCTGGTCCCCTGACACCAGGAGACCCAAGCTCCCCAGCATCATGCTGTCCCACCAGCTGGCCCAAGGTGCCCAGGGAAGGCAGACTGCTCCCCCCGGGCAGGACGCTGGGGGCCAGGGCACAAGCAGCCCGGCCAAGGTTGACCCCTCACCACCACTTCCCTTAGCACGAAGTCTGGACGTCTGTGAACTTGGACTTCACCGCCTCCTGGGAAGCGCAGTTATCAGCTCGGTTTGGGTGGATTGTTCTATCAACTCAGCAAACAGTACTGCTGGCTTACATTCTCCAGTAAGCAGAATCTCCCACGTGTCTGCTCTAAGATGAAGCATGAATCATTTCCTCCCCTTTTGCTGAAGAGTAGACTTAACTAGGCCCCCAGAATTAGGCTATGCAGTAAAACTTGTTTTTACTTAAACTTTTTTCAATTAAAAACTGTGCCTTGGGGTTGGAGGCTACCCCAGCGCTGCAGTGGCGAGATCTGACCATGGGTTCTGCTCCTGTGGTGGGGGGTCCCAATTCCTGGGAGGGGTGGAAAGCCCTGACTCCGCCCTTTGGCAATCCTGTGTTGTAAGGCTGGGCCTCCTTGGTGTTTCTTCCGCCTAAATGTGGTGAAACTCAGGAAGGAGTCAGTGCCTTTGACTTAGTTTCACACCTTTATTGTGAGTCTGTGATGGAATTCCTGACAGCACCGTGTGTGACCACGAAGGCAGACTTCTGGCAGACTTCCTGGATTTTACCAGCAGCCTCCAGCAAGACCGTGGGAGCCCACTGCAGGGCACAGCTGTCCCTGTGCCTCCACAGAGGGCTGTGCCCGTGGGCTGGGGAGCTCCTCCCATGAAGAGCAGTGAACACCTGTCGTGTCAGTCACAGGTCGTTTAACCCGACCTCAGCCTTCACTTCCAGAAACAGCCTGCTTTAGGAGTCACTGCTAACCGATGGGCACCGTGACTTTATTTGTAAGCAGGGAGCTGGATTTCTGATTCGCTGAGCAGATTGCTTACGGTTCTCAGTTCTGTGTTCTTACAGTAAAACCCATCGTGGGCGATGTCCACCACATCTGAGCCTTTGTTCAGGCAGCTCTCTCCAGGCTGGGAGCGCGGCTGCCACACTGCCTCTTATTTTACCTCCAGGGCTGGTGGCGAGGAGGGTGGCCTTGGAGATCTGTGCAGTACGTGCCTGCTGGGGTCTTGCCCCTGGCCTGTTTGCCACCCCAGTCTCCTCTTGTGACGACTCTCCGGGGCCGTTGTGCCAGGCCCTGTGGAGGGTGGCCGCAGGCCGAGGAGCTGAGGGCCACCGCACTGGACTGTGGAGTCCCTTTGCTCCCTGGAGCTTTAGAAAACACCCCCTGGGCTGGTGGTTCTCATGAGTGTCCCTTGATGGACAGGTGACATAGTGCCTGGGGGTCGATACCCATGGGACTGGACAGACAGACTTATTCTCGGGTTCTCAGGAAGGTCCCCCCTGGGAGGAGAGGGAAGTGCAGTTTGTAATCACCTGCCCGGGGCCACCGAGTCGCATCAAACCCTCTTTAGAACACGATTCTGGTTGCTTCCAAAATTCTCTTTTCTTGAAACATCTTCCAGTGCTTCCCCCCACCCCCGGTTCCTTTTCTGTGCTGCCAAGGGCATTCCTGGGCGCGCGGCGGATGCTGGCAGCAAATACTCGGGAGCGTCTGTTGTTTCTGCCGCGGGTGAGATTTTACAGCGTCATTGAACGTTTTGGAACGTGACGTCCAAGTGCAAGCTGCAGACTCCGTTGTAAACTTAGGGTTCTTCATTGCTGTTTTAGAAAACTGCTCCCTGATATAATGTGTTCCTGGCATCTCTGAAAATAGTAAAGACTCAAGTCAAATGAAGCAAGAACAGTTTCTGTTTGGTTTCACTCTGTGGAGCCTTTAGGTCGTAGTGACCACCATGTAATTAATAATGAGCCTGATGTAAGGAGCCTGCGTCAGATGAGCCAGCAGGGAGACCCGCCGGACGGCAGTGTGTGTGCAGCCTCTGCTGCCCCGTGACCACTTTGAGCACAGCTTTGAAAAACACAAAGGAAAATGTGGTGCGTCTGCTGACCTTGCGTCCGGAGGGGAACCTCACTGACCACAGGGAAGGATTTAGCAGTGTCCTGCAGCCCCCTGTCTCCTTTAAGTGCCCAGAACTAAAATTCCAATCGGGAAAAACCACTGTCCGGAAACACAGGGCTTCTGCCCTGGAGCCTCGGAGGCCCTGCTGCTAGCCTCCCTTCATCCCCCTCCCCCCCCCACACACACACGCACAGGCACGTGCTCGCACACATGCACACGCACACACACGTGGACGTAGCTGTGACTTGGAGATGCTGCCTCGTACTCTGTGGTAAAGTAAACCAGACCCTGCTTTCACAGTGGTCTGTAGATGCCCCTGTGGTTGCGATTCTGTCATGGACCACAAGTGAACGCCGCTCTGAGATAGATTTGCAGCATCGTGTTAGACTGATTTGCAAATGTCTTCCTCTACAATATGGTTTTGCATCTGCCTGTGTGTGCGGCAGCCAAATGCGCAGTCCTGGTGGTACTGAAGAACAGGACTGAGGCCAGAGCCAGCCCCCAGATACCCTCAGCTGTCCCCCACCCCCCTCCAGGCTGTGCTATCGGGATGGCCACAGTGGCCGCAGGAACAGGGAGCATGCAGTGCTGATCAGGGAGGACGCTCCGCGGCTCTCTGTTGGAATTTTAGTCAGCATTAAAGATCAGCCACAGGATCCCCACATTTGCTTTTCAAGCATCGTTTAGCATTGTTTGAGCTCTTATTCCACAAAGGCTCTGTTAACGCCTGCGTAAGACCTGGAGTTGGGCTGTCCCTGGGGAGACGGAAGTCCCAGGCAGCCTCCGCAGGGCCCGGGCCTGCCACACTCACCAAGAAGCAGGTGTGCACATGTGTGTGTTCTGAACATAGATATGTACACATGTTTTTTCTAAGCTTAGGCTCGTAACACACGTTTATCCATATCCAACGTAAGTAGAAATTGGATCTTCACAGCCCTGCCATGGGCGGTGCCCACAGAGACCCTGTTTTATAGCTGAGAGACTCTCAGGGCCCAAGTGAGAGCCAGGAGCAGGAGTGGGACGGGCTCTCGGCCTCCCTGGCTTCAGACCTGCTCAGCCCTGTGCTCAGGGCCTCCGCAGCCAGAGAGCCACCCAGCTGAGCCCTGGGCTGAGGGAGATGGGCCAGGGACTGCAGACCGTCCACCCACATAAGACTAATTCAGAATGCAGTGGGGACAGGACGGTGGCTGCTGTGTCATCAGGACCGCGAGATGCTCTGAGGCCAGCCAGTGAACAGGCCACAGCTGGCACTTTTACAGGAGGAATTTAATGTGGGAGCCTGGATCCAGGTGTTAGAGAGACAGGGAGTCCAGCAGAGGACATAAAGCCAGCCCCGCTGGCTCCTGGGGCTGAGGGGCAAGCAGGGACTGAGGGCATGCCCTGCAGCAGAGGGAGAGGGGCCCCCTCAGACTCCCGTGCCTGACCTCGGCCTGCGTCTTGTAGGAGCCCATGTGGTGGCCAGGGAGGGCCGCAGCTCGCACTAGGGCCCGGGGTTAGGGAAGGGCAGGGCAGATCCCAGGGCGGACGGCAATTGCAGCCCCAGTGGGCAGTAAGAAGCTGCACCAGATTGTGTTGCGTGGTCTCAGGACGGCGCTGGGGACGTGGAGCAGGCCCTCCAGGGTGAGAAACAGCGAGGGGAAGGGCGCTCGGCTTGCCATTGAGGAAGAGGAGTGGGCACCCACCAGAGCAGCTGTGCAAGGAGGGGCGTGTCCAGGTGACCCCCCAATATGCGATGACCTTCCCCGTCTGGTGTGTCCAGCTCGCCCTCACCTGGCGTCTCAGTCCTGGAGGGCTGGGGTGGGATTGAGGAGGGTCATGTGGCTGGGCCCCTGCCTCTCCTCTGCCTTGGCCATGGCTGCTCCTCAGTAGTGGCCGCGTGTCCTGCTCACGAGGGCATTTTAAGGAAGCTCGCTGCCACCACTGTGTGTCCTTCCCTGAGGGAGAGGGGCCCATCTGCAGAAGTCCACGGGCTGGGGATGGCCACAGCCGTGCACATGTGGAGCCCTGGGCAGCTTGTGAGGGGCAAGCAGAGCTCCTGGGACGAGAGCCAGACAGTCTGTGACGGCAGGTGACAGTGACGGCCTGAGTGGCGTCATCCCCTCCGTGACTGGCGGGGAGCAGAGCTGCTCAGAGAACAAATCACACCTCTAAATTGGGAAGTGAGAAGCAGGCGCCCAGACAACCAAGATGGGACTTGGGTCCCAGACACCACCCACGCTGCAGGACAGCCACCATGGGCACGTGCGGGAGGTCAGCCAGAGGACAAGGAGGCACTGCCAGCCCTTGTAGGTGCCAGGACAGAAAAATGAGGTGGCCGGGCAGTGCCGGGAGCCAGGCGTGCTGTCTGCCTGGAGCAGACGTGTCCAGGGGCGACACACACTTCCATCATCAGGGTCCACCAGCACGTGAAGGGGGCCTGTGGTGTGCGGGTTTCTCACGGGAGTCACCCTGTGCCTGGGGCCTGCTGAGCCGGCACCCAGAGAGCAGCACTCGAGGAGAAACCCCAGGACGAGGGAAGGCAGAGCAGACTTGCTGCTCCTCGGCCATGTCCATGGAGAGGACATCAGAATGTGGCCCTTCCTGGCGGCCTCCTGGGTGGCCACTGCTCTGTGGAGAGGCTGCTTCCAGCTCTGCCGCCCACGGCCTCGTGATGGGTCCCACCAGCTCCTCCTCTGACTGGGCTTCATGGAGCCGCTGTGAAAGGCGCTTCTGCAGAGAGAACCGGCAGAAGCCACGGTCACCACCAGTCTGGTGTCCTGCGCCTGTGTGCAGAGCCAGGTTTGGACCCATTTCTCCCAGCACTTGGCAAGTGCGGGTTCCTGGGGACATCAGCTGCCTGCCGGCCGCAGCCCATGGGGGTAACCACTCCAAGTTCCTCCTGACCCTCCCCTGATGGGAGACGCTGGACACAGTGATCCCAGCGCACTTGCTCCCCTTTGAGCCAAGACCTCAGTCCACAGAGCGTCCACTCTCTCCGGAGGGCGTTGGGTTTCTGGCTTGGAGTTTCCGGGTGTCAGGACAGGCTGTCACAGAGAAGGTGGTGGGCGGGGGGAGGATTGCTGCCCTGGTGAGCCGTGCTTTCCTTCACTCCTGAGATCCAGTGAGCGGAAAGCCCACGCACATGAGAGAAACTCAGGAAGGGCAGGGTTTCTAATTCTAGTTGTTAGTCCCCGTCATGCTGGAAGTGGACACATCCCCGAAGCGTGCACAGTGACATGAAGGTACATGTGCACAAGGCCCTGTGGCCCAGCAGGCTGGGCGTTCTGAGGGTGAGGCTGGTGCTGCCGCGGCAGGAAGTGCTGCGTGGCTGGTGACATTCACACGTGGATGTCACAGTCGCAGGAGAGTCCCCGTCCTGCTGGGATCCTGCCCTCATCCCTCCCAGGGAGGACTGGGTGAAACTCCGGGAAGAGTCACCTCTGGCTGCATAACCTTGAGCAAATACCAGGTCAGTGACGCTGGTGTCCAGCACATGTCCTCTCTGTGACTTCCCCTGTGACTAGAATGAGTGGCTCGTGTGAGCACCTCAGTTAAAGGTCTGCTTTCTAAAATGCAAATTTGTGTGTCCCTGAGTATTTCAGGTGCTTGGGGACCGTGTTTCATTCTTGTTTATACCCCTGGTCCCTGGTGGATGGACGAACTCGTGTCTCCATGTCCCTGTCCTGTGGGCAGCACCACTCTGGGCCAGCCACTGGGAAGGTAGGGTAGGACAGAGGAACCAACGTGACCTCCTGAGGGCAGGGACCTTGGGGACCTCGATCTTGAGGGTCCCCAAGCCTAGATGCCAAGGAGTGAGTTTGATAGCAGCCTGGAGCCACAGGAGGGCCAGGCTGGAGAGAGGGACATTGACCCCCACCTGCTGTGGCCCTAGAAGCCGCGGGCTAGGAGAAGGCCTGCATGCCCAGTCCTGTCCCGTTCCAAGGGGCTCTTTTATTAATGAACTTTATTTCATGGATGAGTCCTAGGTGCACGGCAGAGTGGAGGGGAGGGTATGGAGACTTCCCAGACGCCACCCCGTTCACGAGTAGCCTCCCGACTGTCAGCATCTTCCCTGCGAGTTCCACTGCTACCGCTAGTGAGCCCGTGGCAATGCTGAGGTGGCCCAGAGCATGGTCCACGTGAGGCCACCTTGGCTGCTGCACGTGCGTGGGTCTGGACCGCAGGGCACGTAGGGTCTCCCCGCCCACGGGCCACCCCTCTGCCTGCCACACTGCCCACGCTGTCTCTGCAGCTCTCCTCTTCCAGAGCCTAACAGCGGCCAGCGGCCTCCTCAGACCGGCTTCTTTCCCTCCATGGCATGCATCGGGCGCCCCGTCTCTTCAGGCTCCACAGCGCATTTCCTTTCGTGCTGACGGGTGGTCCCTCCTCTGGGGAGGCTGCCGCTTACCCAGCTCCTGGGGCATCTGGTGGCTCCAGGTTGGGGCTCGAGGGTGAGGCCGCCACAGCCACCCTGCCTGGGTCACCTCCGGGGCCCACGGGGAGAGTGAGGGTCTAGGGAGGGGCCACCCTGGGCTGTGTCCCCAGCAGTGAGGGTGTGGAGACATCCCTGCTGTCCTGACTTGCACCCTGGTGACACGCTTCCTTGTCATCTGTGCATTTCCTTCAGGGTAGTGTCTGTTGGGGCCTTGACCCCTTTTTACGGTGGGCTGTCTGTTGAGTCCTGTGAGTCCCGTGGACAGTCTCCACAGCAGCCCGTATCCGACGTGTCCTTCGGTACGTGTTCTCCTGGCCTGTGGCCTTCTTTGCCTTGTCCCGAAGGCGTCCTTCACAGAGCGAGATCTTGACTTTCAGTGACATTCAGCTCATCAATTCCTTCCTTCACGGATCCTGCCCTTGGTGCTTTATCCAGACGCCATCACCCACCCCGGTCAGCCAAGGTCACCTACTCTCCTCCTGCTGCCTTCTGAGAGTCTGGCAGTTCTCGCTTTCCAGTTAGCCCACGATCCACGGTGGCTTGGGCTCCGTGCCGGGCGTGAGGCCTGCGCCCACGTTCCGTCTTCGCACCTGGACCCGTTCACCCCACCCTTTATTCACACTGGACTGGAAGTCAGGCTGGCTGCAGACAATCACTCAGGGGTGGAGCGGGGGTGGCTGCTCAGGGGCCGGAGGACGGGGCTGCCAGGGACAGAGCTCCTGGGGAGGTGAGGGCCGGGAGCACACCTGGGGTAGGCCGCCTGCGTCCACTGCGTGAGGCCAGGGACACCTTCTCAGCACAACTGTGATCCGGGTGAACTTAATTACTTGCTCTCAAACATGGGCTTCTCTTCCTTCTCACCCTGGCGTGAGCCTCATCCTGAGTGGGTGGGACCGTTGCTCTAGGGAAGTGATGTGGGGGTTCCCATTTCAGCTTGGCCTAGGAACAGCTCCGGTCGCCCATAGGTGCTTTCCAGTGGAGCGTCTGGGTCCCACCACTCCCCTGAGCACCCACTAGCTGCCCAGTGTCCCAGCCATGAAGCGGTGATGCCGCCCTGCAGCGTCCATCAGGGCTGACAGCTGGATCCCCAGCTGCCACGTTCACCCCACGAGGACTTCAGGATGCCAGTCTGCGGTTTCCCATGTGCCATTTGGAGCACCAGGGCCCTGTCCAGAGACAGGGTGCTCCCAACAGCCTGAGAAGCTGGAGGCTGCCGTGAGCCTTCCTCCATGAAGAAGTCTCTGTGTCTGTTCAACAGGTGGCGTCGGAGGACCGCGACTCCTCCCTGGCTGCAGGGAGGGGGCTGTGATTGGCCGAGGCCTTCAGTGTCCAGCGTCTCCTTCAGGCCATGCAGGTGGCCCTGGGCCATCCTCACCTCCTGCTGGCACAGTGGTGTGGTGACTCTGAGGGTGGGTCCGGGCTCACTCCCCTGCCCGCAGCCCGGCATTCTGCACAGGTCGGAGCAGGGACGGGGATGTGACTGACAGCTACAACCAAGTTCCGTTCCTTGGTAGTGGAATACAGCAGTTCCTAATTTTTAAAAAGAGCATCCAGAATGACTTGTTTGTTCCAGGCCTCTGTAAACAAACACATGGAGCCTGCGTGGGTCCCTGTGGAATGATCCCTCTAAGTGGCTCGGGCTCAGCGACGTCCTGCAGAGGTGATTGCTCCAGGACTGTTCCCCATGCAGTGAATTATATAGTGGTTGGGTTTATACAGGGCTGGGTTATTCTAAATTGCAGGATAAGTTCTAAAGTACGAGAAGCATGCACTCTATCAAAGGTGTCGTGTGGCCTCGGGTAGCAGGAGCGCCGGGCGAGCAGAGGCCTGGAAGGGAGAGAAGCTGGTCCCGTGTTGATGCAGCTGGTTCTGTCACTCAGTCAGCCTCATCGTGAGGTTGGAGATGGCTTTGGTAACCCCCTCCCAGGGGCGTAGAGGTGCACTCTGCCCCGTCCAGGTGCGTCTTCAGCCACGTGACGGTGTCGACCGCTCCTGCAGGTGCACACGGACCCCGGCTAACCCCCAGCACCCACAGCCTGGTCTAACCACACTGTGGCAAAGCAGCGTTGACCTGAGTCTAAACTGAAATCTTCCCTCCCCGCCCCTCGAGAGGTGATGCTGAGTGCTGATGGCCGTGGCCCAGGTCAAGTTGACCTGGACGGGGCTGATTTGGGCGCCCAGTGGGCCTTCATAAGAAACCCCTGCTCCTGAATGCTGCGCACACATTCAGGAAGCCATCTTCTCCCCAACCCCAGCAAGTGGCCAAGGTCATGAGCCAGGGTTCACAGGTTAAAATACCGAGGCCGAGCAGTTACACCCCAGCCGGGGTCTGAGCCCCCTGTGGCTGGTCCACAGCCCACCTCCCCAGCCGCTGGAATACCAGTGGCGTCCTCTCGGGACGCAGGTCAGTAGCCGTGGGCCAGGGATCTGCCTTTTAAAGATCTCTTCAGATGACCATGATGGTGGCCTGACTTTGGGAGCTGCTCACAAATTCCTGGTAGAGGAAAGTCAAATAGTTTGTGTTTCCATAAAAAAGTGAAGCCTACCTCTACGCAGGGCCCAGCAGACCCTCCCTCGGGTTCTATCTGGGGAAATTAAAGCGGCTCAGGGAACATTAAGGCACTACTGACCGCCACCAAAGCTGGAGGCTCGGACACCAGCACCCAGCTCCCCAGACGGTGGGCCTCCCGGGAGCACTGCCTAGGAGTGCGGCCACGAGGTGGGCGAGGCCTGGCCCCTGGAGCACTCCCGCATGACTGTCACATGAGAACCCAGTGTGGAACCCTCGTGGGTCCACTCACAGGGCACTCGGGGAGAAGCCAAATGGATGTCTTAAAAAGTCACCCAGGGGCTGCGTCTGCTGGCAGCAGGAGTCTGCGGGGGAGCAAGGACACTGGGGAAGTGCTCTGTGCTCCATCCTGGTGGGCTGTGGACAGGGGCCGAGGGATGGGCAGATGTGTGACGAAGCAAAGAGACGTTGTGATTCAGGTGAGAAATCCCTGCCCAGAGGCCTCCACACTGAGATCTGGGAAGTCCCCCTCCATGTCTTACAGGTGCCAATGGGTGGGTCACCAGGAAGCGCGTTTGGGTGTAAGGTCGCGGGACACATTATTTTCCCAAACACATGGGTGAATTTTTAAAAGGTAGGAAAGTGAAGGACCTAAAATCATAACGCTGTGGACAGACGGCCGTGCCGAGATGCTCTTCCTTCAGGGAGAGCCTGAGGTACAGGATGGTCACTTGTGATTAGCTGCTGGCAGGAGGTTTGGGACCCCTCGTTTGCCGAGCACGGGTCCTGGGCAGTTTTCAGCCACCACTGAGACACAAGGAGGTGAGCGGGAGCAGGGTGGGCTGAATCTAGACTCTGGGATGCACAGGATCAGGAGGTGGGACCCTGCTGGTACCGTCCCCACATCCTGCTGGCTCAGTGCAGTGAACTGGCCCCAGGTAGCTCAGCCCAGGAGACAGCTGGCCCTGACAAGGCTCCGTTCCCAGCAGCCCTTCCATAGAAAGGGACACCTTCAGCTTGGTCCCTCCGAGAAGGAGGCTCCCAGGCAGGCCCCTGAGCCTGCTGGAGACTTGGCCTCCCGGGCTGCACCTCTGAGGCCTGACCACTTGTCTAACAGAAGAGAAGTCGGCAGGGCTGGGCCACAGCACGGTCACGTTCACGGGCCCCAGAGGGCAGCTGCCGTGAGTGCATTTGGGTCCATCAAGTCCCCACAGACCGCTCCTCCGTTGAGAGTGGCTGCCATCCTGTAATAGCAGCAGTTTCAACAGGGAACAAGGATGACCATGTTTTAACATGTCCCTGTGGAGCGCAGTGACAGGGCTGAGGCTGAGCTGTTGTGCACGTCGCCCTTTCCTTCTGATTCCACTGCTGTGCCCACACGGCACACCTGCAGCTGGTGGGAAGGCCAGCAGGACTGGGCAGCCTGGGCGCAGGTGCCCTCTGGCCTGGCTGCTGAGGGCACGTGGGGTCTGCAGCTGCCCTGAATGTCAGAGTCCCCAGGGTCTGCAAGCGTCTGCCGCGGTCA